GAGCTCAGACTACTGTACAAACGTGTGTGCAGAACAGACTAGAGCTTAAAGGTACTATGATGGAGGTCTCTGCAGGGTTCAGGGAGTTAAAAAGAAGGGGAGAGTGATCAGTTCTACCAGAAAATAACTATTGTTCATTGAGCACTTATTATGCACTAACCACTTTACTTTGATTAGTTCATCTGACTCTCACCAAAACACTCTGGGGTAGGTACTATTATTGTTCCCATTTTACCGATAAGGAAACTGAGGCACAGAGAGGCTAATTAGCTTGCCTGAACTGGCAAAGCCAGGATTCAAACCCCCTTGGACTCTGCAATCTGTGCTCTTACCCATCATACTACCACTGCGGAGGGGACAGGCAGGTGGGGAAGGGTGAGCAGAGGTGACACTTGAGTCAGATCTACTTGATGCAGGACTCACCAGGTGCGACAGGAGTGGGGAAGAGCAGGCAAGGAGAGCAGTCTGAGAAAGGCCCGGAGGCGTGGCCCTTGTAGCAGCTCAGGCCTGAGGGGGTTCTGTGGGCCTTAAGACTGGGAACAGGGCCAGCCCCGTGGCTTAGCAGTTAAGTGCGCGCGCTCTGCTACTGGGGCCGGGGTTCGGATCCCGGGCGCGCACCGACGCACCGCTTCTCCGGCCACGCGGAGGCCGCGTCCCACATACAGCAACTAGAAGGATGTGCAGCTATGACATACAACTATCTACTGGGGCTTTGGGGGAAACAAAAAAAAAAAAGGAGGAGGATTGGCAATAGATGTTAGCTCAGAGCCGGTCTTCCTGATCAAAAAAAGAGGAGGATTAGCACGGATGTTAGCTCAGGGCTGATCTTCCTCACACACACACAAAAAAAGACTGGGGACAAAGCCACCAGCCTCGCCCTGGAGTCCTCACGAGCCCTGCGGGGGAGTCTGGATCAGCCGGGCTCTGGGTTGTAAAGAAGAGAACACAATGCTGGCTAATTTGACCAGAAAAGGAGTTTATTGGAAGGGTCCTGGGGAGTCACAGAACTCATAGAAAAACAGACTCAAAGGGCAGGAAGTGTGGAACGCTGGCTGCCTGGACCACAAGAGGGCCTCGCCACGGGAGCAAACCATAGTGCTCCACCATCTCCACACCGGACGACGGAGGCCCGGGGCCGCTGGACACATGGGGCTGCCAGCTCGCTGAATCCTCAGTTGTCTCTCCCTCTTCCCTGGCCCTCGCTCCAGGTGGGAACCTGATTGGCTGAGGTCAGGTCAGGTGCCCACATCCTGGTCACCAGGATTGGGGGAGCAAGTGTCTGCCCTATTCACACCCATGGAGGGAAGCAGGGTCCTGCAGCCAGCCCACTTGTAGAGGTTGAGATGCTGGGCAGCCAAAACGTGATGACCATCTATTATACCACCGCATGGACAATGGGAAGTCACCAAAGATTTTGTTTTTTAAAATTTATTGTGGCAAACTACATCACATAAAATTTACCACTTTAACCATTTTAAGTGTACAGTTCAGTGGCATTAAGTACATTCACATTGCTACGAAACCATCATCACCATCCATCCCCATAACTCTTTTCATCTTCCCAAATTGAAGGTCTGTACTCATTAAAAACTAACTCCCCATCCCCTTTCCCCCCTGGCCCCTGGCAACCACTGTTCTACTTTCTGTCTCTATGAATTTGACTATTTTAGGTACCTCATATAAATGGAGTCATACAATATTTGTCCTTTTGTGTCTGGCTCATTTCACTTAGCATAATGTCTTCAAGGTTCATCGATGTTGTAGCTTGTGTCAGAATCCATTCCTTTTGAAGGCTGAATAATATTCCACTGCATGTATATCCTGCATTTTGTTTATCCATTCATCCATTGATGGGCAGTTGTGTTGTTCCACCTTTTGGCTACTGCGAATATGCTGATACAAATATCTCTTCAAGACCCTGCTTTCAATTCTCTTGGGTATTACACCCAGAAGCGGAATTATATCTGAGGGTTTTAAGCAGGGGAGAAACAGCATCATATTTTTTCTCTTAGGAAACTCATTCTGGCCGCCATGTGGATAGTTTGGAGAGGTGAGAGATTAAAGAGGAGACTCACTAGGAGGTGGGGACAATTGTCCAGTGGTCGTGGGGGTAGAGGGATGTTGAGGTCGGGGTGGACGGGATGGGGTGAGGGAGAGGGTAGAGCCGCAGGTGACCTGGTTCCTGTGTGACTGGGTCAGCTGGTAGTGACGCTAACGGCATAGGCAGCACAGGAAGAGGCGAGCTGGTGGAGGAGCTGAGTTTGAGGTGACTTCTGAATGGACATACAGTTTGAGAAGACAGTTCTGACTTCTAGTTTGAAGCTCAGGAGAGAGGTATGGGTTGGAGATAAAGACCGGCAGTCTCGAACGAGGAGGCAGCTCAGAGAGCCTGAGGCCGTCCAGGGAGAGCAGGCAGATTGGAAAGAGGGTCCAGGACTGAACCTGAGTGTCCTGGCATTTCAACAGAAGCCAAGAGGGACCAGCAGTGCCATGGCCCCAAGAAGGGGGCAGAGGCCCAAATTTTCAACATTGAGCATTCGGGCGTCACTGGTTACTTCTGCCTGAGCAGTAAATGGAGTGATGAGGGCACCCAGAGCAAATGCCCGGAGCAAATGGAACAGAAGCAGAGAGCAACGTTCGAACATTATTTCAAGGAGCTTAACCTTGAAAGGAGTAATCGTAGTAGCTAAAAACAGAAGCTGGTCAAGACTTTTCTGGGATAGGGTTAGCGTGGTTGTTTTAACAATAAAATGAACATAAGCCTATCTAGGACTTGTAGGAAAAAGTGCACAAGGTCTCAGAGATGAGAGAATTGGATCAACAGCCAAAGTGGAGAGCTGGCCTTGAAAAGAGGCCCGCCCTCCACTGGGTGGGGAAGGAGGTCGAAGTGGGGAGGCGTGGGGAGAATTTAAGAATTTAAAGGCCTTGACTTATTCTAAGGACTAGGACACAAGGACAAGTATAGAGGATGAGACAGGAGACAGGTCTGTGCCACTTGTGTGGAGCTGCATGGATGTCCCTGGGCCTCCTCAGGCCGAGAGGGAAAATTCCCGGGAATCCGCATCTTTGCCTGGCTCCCCTGGGGGTTCTGCATCCACTGCTGTAGAGCATCCAGGCCAGGCCAGGGAGGAGCCGGCTCCTTCCCAGGAGCCCAGGGAGGTGGAACAGGGGAACAAGACTGGACCCAGGACAGGGGAGAGGGGGTTGGTTCCCAGGCCCTAGGTGAAGCTCTTAAGCTCTTAGCAGCCTCACCCCACACTCGACTTCTTTCCTCCTAGGACAGGAGGGGATGGGAATCCCCTTGAGGCTTCCTTTCCAGGTGGCTCTGCCTTGGGGAGTGGGTGCTGGACAGAAGAAACAGATATGGGGGAGGGGGCAGTGATTCACAACAGGGCTACTGGAGGCCAGGCTGGCAGACCCCTGCACAAAAGGACAACCGTGGTGACACAGCCCAAAGAAGGCCTGGCTTCCTGGGCCTCACACCTCGGCTCTGTCTTTGACCCACTAAAAGAAAACAGTCTATGAACAGGCAGAAATTCTTTAGTCAGGTTTTTTTTTATTTAAAAAAGAAACCCCAATTTTTCCTTAAACTCTACATTCTTAGTTTTCCAGGGACAGAGAGAAGTTTGCAGTGATGACATCAACTCGACATAGTCTGGCTACTCCTGATTCTGCAGGACTAAGACACCCCCTGGGAGTTTGGCCCCGCCAGACAGCGAGGACAAGGATTCTTCAGGTGTGGTCCAGCTTGAGGGCATCTGGGCCCACTGGGCAAGGGGGCTTGCATGGTCTGACAGAACGCGAATCGTGGAACAGGTGGCCTGGGGCTCCCAGGCCTCATAAAGAGTTTCACTGGCGCCCACCAGGCCTGCGTGGTTTCAAGTCCCCTCACCGGCAAGCGCTTATCTTCCCTGACGTTCTCTGCTACCCACAAGCCCCTCCACACCCCTTAGCCTCTACTTCTAGGAACCTGTGAACATCAAAAGGTGCATGGGCACGGTGGAGGTCATGGCTGGGCAGCCTCTGAAAGCACACCTTTACCAGTATTGAGAAAACAGAAACGGGGTTGGGGGGAGTTGGGTTCCCCGGAGACAATGAGATGACCCCCTTCCCCCCAGTTCAACTCCTACCACCTACCTCAGGCGGTGTCCTCATGGGAGAGGACATTACAGAAGCTAAAAGTTAAAACTGCTATCAACCCTTGTCCCCTTCTGCCACTTGAGAAAAGCTTCCTAGAACTTTACAGGTGAAGCTGCAAAATGCTAGTGGGAACAGGACCGTTCAACCCATAAATTTTTCTTCTAGAGCTGAGAAGACGCTGTGCACTGTGTTTGGTAAGAAATAGGTGTGAGCGACCCAGCCCGTGCAGGTGTCCTGTCTGGACATCCTGAGCCTCAGGTTCCCCACGTCTGGAGCCTGCGGCACCTGGCGGCCACACCCTGGAATGCGCCCTCTGTGCCCCCAGCAGCCAGAGCTCCGTCAGCCTGGCATCTAACCGAACATCTCAACAGCAGAACATAGAACTATAAAACACAGCTTCTGCGGAGGAAAGGCTTGTGGTCTGAGATCCAACCAAGGCTTCCTTCTCTCCTTCGAAACTTAAGACTCTATAGGCTGAGTATCCAGCTTCTTCCTCACAGATAGAGCTGGCCCCAATCCATGAATTCTCTCCTGGACCATCTACAGAATCCAAAGGAAACCCAAGCCTCTTTACAGAGACGGGCTCGTGGCTGGGAACCAAGCCACCAACAGAAGGCAACTCAGGAGAGAAAGCTTGAGGCCGGCTATGGCCCTTGGTGTCTGTTTCTGTTGGGGCTGGGCAGAGCAGCCACATCTCCCAAAAAGAGCAGAGGGCAAAGGTGCTCTCTCACCCAGAGTCCCCAGCCCTTTAACTTCCTGTGGCTGGAATACTCTGGGAGGTAGGAGGAGAGGATGGTGGGCCTCAACTAGAGACAGGACACCAGCAGGACAGCAGGCAGGCCCCACTTCCTGAAGCTGCACAAGCCCTCAGAAGAGGACAGGCCTCATGTGTATCAACAGCACACGCACAGGTAACAAGACCGGGGGAGAGGACTCCAAGTGTCTTCTCCACAGGGAGAAGGGACTATGTACAGGGGGAGGAAGGGAGAGTCTGGCCAGGTACACCCCCATTTCATCTCATTCAACCAGGAGATCAAACTGTTCAGCAGCTTCAAACTCAGCATTCATGGCTGCGGCCCACTCATCCAGCTCCAATTTCTGGGGGAAGAGAAATGGGGGGCAGGTGAGTGGGGAGGGGGGAATGTTAGCTGGAGCATCTCTACCCTGCACCTTGCAGGTGCTGCCTTTCCCCCAAAACAGCCAGAGGTGAGCCCCAGCCTGGCATGCGTCCCTGTGTGTCTGATGTGAGAGTGGAGGAAGGCCCCTGCCCCTCACTCACCAGGATCTCTGGCGCCTTCTTCTTCTTTCGTTTCTCTTTCACGACTGGCGGGGAGATTCCGGGGAGAGTCGCGTCAGGGGCCCAGGGCTGCGCGGGGACCCTGGGGACCTCGGGTAACTTTGAACACACCACAGGCGAGACTCCGGCCAAGTCTCCTGCCCTCAGCAGCCCCTCGAAGCCGAAGCAGGAGCGGCGGCCTGGGGTGGAGGTGGAGGCAGAGCCAAGGGTCTCCAGCCGGCTGTAGGACCGCCTGACTTTCTTGGACATCTCTAAGTCTCTAGTGTCCAAGGCTCCTTCCCCTGAGTGGGACTCAACATTCAGGGGGTGCAGCACAGGAGTGGTGGTGGGGGTGTCGGGGACACTATATTTCTTGAAGAGGTCCTCCTTCGTAGGTTCCTTGCTAGGAGGGTTGTTTTCTTTCTCCAAGAAAAAAGCAATCTGTACCAGGACAGAAGAGGGGATGCCTCCCTGTTACTTAGCTGTATTACTTGCTTCCAGGAAGGCCCGAGGAGATGTAGGGTGGAAAGAAAGACCCATAGGACAAACACATAAAAGGAAAAGAGGAGACAGGTCAGGCGACAACAAATCAGACCCTGAGACAGATGTGGCGAGGGGAGAAAAGAACAATCCATCATCACTTCTGAGGAGTCTGCTTTCGTGACACAAAGACTTGCCACCACCCGCTGGTGCTGTCAGCACTGTCTCCAAAACGTTACCGGAATCTAGCCACCTCTAACTGACGCCAGCCCCCATCACGTCACCCAGGTGAGCTCAACAACCTCCTAACTGCTCTTTCTGCTGCCATCCTTGTGCTCTGTGGGCCACCTGCCACACAGCTGGTGATGATTCTCCTAAAATGTCCATCCAGTCCTTAAGTACTTACTGGTCACCCACCCCGCTCCAAGCCCTGGTCTAGACACTGGGAGAACAGCAGGGAACAAAACAGAGAAAACCCCTGTCTCCATGGAGCTTCCAGTCTAGTGGGGGAACAGAGAACAGGGAAAATCATGTGGTACGTTAGAGGTGGTAAGCACTTTGGAAAAACAGAACAAGACAGAGCACTGGGGGTGGGCTGGAATTTTAAGTAGGTGAAGGTCAATGGAGGCCTCACTGAGGTGGCATTTGAGCTACAACTTGGAGGAGGTGAGGGAGTGAGTTATCCAGAGGAAAAGTGTTCTAGGCAGAGGGAACAGAAGGCGCAAGAGTCCTGAGGCAAGTGTGCCAGTCAGGGGCAAAGAACAAGGCCAGTATGGCTGAAGCACGAGGAAGTGAGGAGAGGAACTGAGGATGGGGTTTGAGAGGTAACGGGGGGTGTAGGTCGTTCTGTAGGCCGCTATAAGGGGACACCCACGGAGACCCTTGTTCTGAGAGACTCAGGGAGCCACGGCAAGGTTGTGAACAGGAAAGGGCTTACTCTGACATGTGGAGTAAGAGGTTTACATACTGGCTCCTCAGAATTCCGCTCTCAGCTCCAATGCTGCTTCCTCAGGGAGGCCGTCCCTTACCGTGGCATCTAGATCAGCCCCTCCTCACTTCTGCTAGTTACTCTGTCAGTGACCTCTTTCCTGTACAGCAGCCATCACTAGCTGAGAGTACTTGTTCACTGGTTAACTGCCACCCCGACTAGAATGTGAGTTTCCTGAGAGCAGGGGTCTTCATCTGTCTGGTTGACCTTGCCCATGCTCAGCTCCTACAGCAGAGCCCTGCATGGAGCAGGTGTTGATGACTCAGCGAACTAATACACAGTCGCCCCCCCTTATCCGCCGGGGAGACGTTCCAAGACCCCCAGTAGATGCCCAAAGCCACGGATAGTGCCGAACCCTATATATACTGTTTCTTCCTATACGTATATACCTATGGTGAAGTTTAATTTATAAATTAGGCACAGTAAGAGAATATCCGAACTGCCAGCATCACTGCTCTTGCACTTTGGGGCCATTATGAAGTAAAGTAAGGGTTAGTGGAACACAAGCTCTGTGATACCGCGACAGTCGGTCTGATAACTGAGACGGCTACTAGGTGGCTAACAGGCGGGGAGCATGTACAGCGTGGATCTGCTGGACAAAGGGATGATTCATGTCCTGGGTGGAATGGCGAGGGTTTTCATCATGCTACTCAGAATGGCGCACAATTTAAAACTTACGGATTGTCTATCTCTAGAATTTTCCATTTAAAATTTTCAGACTGCAGTTGACTGCAGGTAACTGAAACCGTGAAAAACAAAAGTGTAGATAAGGGGTGACTACTCGACACAAAACTTGGCACTGAGCTTTCTGGCAGCCAAGACAAGGCAGGAAACAGGACAAATTCGACACCCTTGTAGTCTAATAGAAGGAAGTATGTCAGTTATCAAGGGAGACATTTCCTGGCTACAAGCTCTGGGATCTGCCCCACGAGTCTTAGTAAAAGGGATGCTGAATAAAATGGGGGTCACCCCTGACTACTTCTTTCTCATCCCCTACAGGCAAGCAGTCATCCAAGTCCCTGCAGCTTTTCTTGCTCACTATCTCATGAATCTATCGTTCAACCAACAAGGATGAGTGGCCACCATGCGGGAGGCAGAAGTCCCTGGCCTCAAGTCAACAAATATGCAAACAAATCCTCTCAGCTATCAATGAGGCCCAAGGAGAACTACATTGAGAAATGTGACAGTGATAGGATGGAGTGGTCAGGGAAGGCTTCCAGGAGGAGGTGTCATTTGAGCTGAGTCCTGTGTGATGGGATGGTCATGTGGTGAGCCGGGGTGGGGGTGGAGGGGTGGCAGAGCAGCACTTTGCCATTACCTTACTTCAGGCCCCCACCATCTCACTTCAGGATATCCGTCAAGTCCTCCTATCTGGTGTTGGGGGCCCCAGTGGGCTTTCTCCAACCTATTCTCCACTCAGCCCCACGAGGGATCTTTCTAAAACACTCAAGCTTAACTCAGTCACTACCTTGCTTAAAACTCTCCAAAGGCTGCCTGCAGAGCCAAGGGTGAAGCCCAAGCTCCTGAGCCTCTGAAGATCTGTTCTGGCTTAGCATGCTCCCCGCCCCGGACAAGGTCTGCTGCAGACACACCAAACAAGCTGTGGTTCCCCAAACCTGGTGATTTTCTGTGGACTCCAGGTCTCTGCAAACACAGCTTCCTTTGCCCCGAACACTCTTACTTGTCTTTAAAGACTAAAGACTCAGTTTAAACATTTCTTCTGTGAAATGTTCCCTGAGCCACCTGGTCTGGGTTAGGTGCTTTTATAGCATCTAGTTCTTTCCTTATCATGGTCCTCAGCACACTATGCTATCACTTGTTCATATGCCTTTCTCCCCACTTGACTGGTCACCCCATGAGCTCCTCAAAAGCAGTTAACATTTCTCATTCATTATATCTTCAAGCCCAGATTTTGTCAATGAAACATCTTGATTTCTGCTAAAATAGTAAAAACACTGTACATGTAACTTATCTTACAACCATAAGTAAAAACTGAGGAAAGATGGAGTAGAAAAAAGATAGAGTAGCTAGGACACAGCTCAAGTTTTAAAAGAAAATGGTAGAGAATATCAAGGAAATCAAGAGCTAAATGTATTAAGTCTACAAAGAGTAAGCAAGATTGGCAATGCACGCAGGCCTCCGAAGGCAAACTGTTTCAAAATACTGCAAAACAGCTCCCTGGGCAGATGTGAGCAGCCAGTATGCCCCTCCCCAGCTCTAGAATGTCCTGGATTCCACTCAACCAAGCAGATGAAAATGAACTCACCCTAGGGCTCCTGCGAGGCGAGTTGACAGATGGGATCTGTGGAGACAACATTAATTGATCACATGGCCGGCTCCCATTTTGGCTCCCCACCCACAAGCTCTCTCAGCCCTCACCTCTGCAGTATGAGCAACGATCTTCTTCAAGACGATGGGCTTTCTGATTGGAGCCGCATGGGGTGCCTGGAGAAGAGGGGTGACCATGAGCTCTACATTAGCCCAGGGGCCCCTGGGGTAGGAACCGAGGAACCCGGGGCTCACCTTTGCACAGATTTCAGGGAGGGTGCTCGGGAGATCAGAGCCTGATTTCCGCTGGGACCTCCGCAGAGACTTAGGAGATGGGGCCGCGGGCCCTGGAAAAGAGAAAAAAGTTAGGAGGTATAGGAGACTCTAAAGTCTAGAGAACAGGTTCTGAAGAGAGCGAGAGAAGGCTCCCAAACAGGCCCTTTGGGGGCGTCTTCCGGGAGGGACGAGCCTCCTAGAGCGGCGGGGGAAGGGCCTTCCTCACGGGACTGCATCCCTCAAACGGCCCGGCCCCATCTGTCCCGCGCGCCCTCCGCTCACCGGAGCTCCGGGCGGCCCCTCCAGACCGCGTTCGCCTCTCTGACATATCTAGCGCTGCTCTCGATCTCCGCCGCCGCCGCTGCCGCCGCCGGGGCTCGCGCCAACCGGAGGGCCGTCTGAGACAGAAACGTTCGAATTACCCGCCTTGCCCGGGAGGAAGCGGAAGTGACGTAAGGCGGGAGGGCCACGGTGCCCGGCTCACGCCCTCCTCACCCGTCTCCACGTCTAGCGTCATCAGGGGCGGGGCCGGCGGCGCTCTGGCATCATAAGCGCGCGCCGCACCCGGAAGAGACGTGGCAGCGGAGGGATAATCGGAGCAGCCCGAGGGGAGAGAGCAGAGTGGTGGGTTGGCTGAGTGTGGCGTCCGTCCTTCCGCGCCTCGCACCGGCGCTCGCACCCGTTGAGACCGGTACCGCAGCAGATCAGTAACACCGAGAGTGGGGTTTGTGGAGGAGGTGGGGGCGGGGCTTGGAGGGGGTGGGGTTCAGGAGGGGCCCGTGGGGGCGGGGTCGGTGGTATCGCAGAGTAGCTGATGGAGGGGTCGGCCGGGGGAAGGATGCAGGAGGAATGAGGGGTCTCCAGAGGCGGGATTTATGCAGGGGGCGTGGCCCAGAATGAAGAGGGGCAGTGGACAGGAATTTGGGGTTGGGGCGAATACGAGAGTGTCTAGGGGAGTTAAGAGTAGAAACAAACTGGGCTGGTGAGTGTGTCGTGGCAGCCAGCAGGACCCGGCTCCCTACCAACTCAAGCCCCTTCCGCAGGGCCTACCATGGGGCTTTGCAAGTGCCCCAAGAGGAAGGTGACCAACCTGTTCTGCTTCGAACACCGGGTCAACGTCTGCGAGCACTGCCTGGTAGCCAATCACACCAAGGTGGGGCCTTCAGGGGAGGGGCTGCGCGGGGCGCTGGGTGGACAGGCCGTCTTGGCTTTCTCCAAATCCCTGAAGGGCCGGCGCTAGAATGGAAGCTCCAGGAGGGCGAGGACTTGGTTTATGTCGTTCACTGCTCTATCCCCAGCCCTTAGGACAGAGTCTGGCACACAGTCTGTGCTCAATAAATGTTTATTATTGAGCAAATGAAAGGATGAGTCTCCTCTGTGATGAGGGAGAAGGCAGTTGGGCCTTGGAGAGATGGGCTGTGGAGCCCCTGCTCCAGTTGTGACCTCTCTCTCCCACTTCAGTGCATCGTCCAGTCCTACCTGCAGTGGCTCCAAGATAGCGACTATAACCCCAATTGCCGCCTGTGCAACGTCCCCCTGGCCACCCGGGAGACGACCCGCCTCGTCTGTTATGGTGAGGCCTGGGCACCTTGGGGGGATCAGGACAGGCCCAGCTTGGTGACCAGTTTCCAGGCCCTCCCTAAGCATCCGGACAGTGAGACCTCCAAGCCTGGGAGGCTGGAGCCCCAGATTAGTCCTCCTAGGTTACTTACCTGCTGTGTGAGCTCAAGCAAGTCATTTTCCCTTCCTAGGCCTCAGTGTCTTTCCCTAAAAATTAGAGCCCCCTCAATCTTGAGGGTTGAGCGAGAGCCAGTCAACCTTGTGGGTGTGGTTGTGGCTGCGAGCAGTAGCTGCCTGGCCCAGCAGTGAGCTGAAAGCATGGGGCTTTCAGACATTCAGGATCCATTACTGATTCCAAGATTAACCAGAGAGGAAGTGAGTTTCCGCAGTCAAGTCAGCTAAAAGAAGTCAGCAGACACGTGTCATGACCTTGACCTGACTGCTGTAAGAACCTTAGCTCCACTTTTTGAAGGAGCTAGCAAAAAAATGGGCTCCCCTTGTGCTTCTCAGTATGAGTGCGTGTGTATATGTGCGTGAATTTCACATGCATTGTGTCTTTACGTAAGTATTGGTGTGTTCGTTAGTACCTGTGGGAGAGTGAATGGGTAAATGTGTGTGAACATATGAACACAGGTGTGGGGTGGGGTTGCAGGAGAATGTGTGGGTGAGAGTTCTCAAGTGTTAGCAAGCGTGCGCGTGTAGATGTGGATGTGTGAGAGTTAGTGTGCCCGTAAGTGTAGATACAAGGGATGGCATGTGCCTTTGATTATGTGTAAACACATGTACCCTTGTGCTCCTGGATGTGTACATGCGTGTGTGGGCCTGTGTATGTCTAGGAACCTTTTCTGAAACTGTCCTTGATTGGCTGTCAGTTGAAGGAGGTTGTGATGAGAGCAGGTCCAGAGAGGACTCACAGAAAGGGTGGGTGGCATCTTCTTCCCACCCACCCCCATCCCCTGGTGGGCTAGGGAGCTTGGTAGTATCTACCTTGACTTAGTTGGACAACAATGGCCAGGAATGCCAGAGTCTTAGGGAACACTAATGAAATGGACCTGGGGTGAGGATGGCGGGGAGAGGGCTCTGGGCTTACATATATCTGTGCATATATCCCTGTGGTGGGCTGGGGGCTGTTGCTGTGTCGTCTTCCTCATGCTGCTTCTCCTGTTTTGTGGGCCCCAAGATCTCTTCCATTGGGCCTGCCTCAATGAACGTGCTGCCCAGCTCCCCCAAAACACAGCACCTGCTGGCTACCAGTGCCCCAGCTGCAGTGGCCCCATCTTCCCCCCAGCCAACCTGGCTGGCCCCGTGGCCTCCGCGCTGAGAGAGAAGCTGGCCACAGTCAACTGGGCCCGAGCAGGACTGGGCCTTCCTCTGGTGAGAGTTCCTCTGCCCGGGGTCCCACCTGGGCTGATGGGTGAATGGGGACAGCACTGGGCAGGCTAGTGACATAGGTTCCTTCCTCCAGATCGATGAAGTGGTGAGCCCAGAGCCTGAGCCCCTCAACACCTCCGACTTCTCTGATTGGTCCAGCTTTAATGGTAAGTGGTGGTCTCCCCTGCCTTTGGGACCCTTGCCTCCCTGCTCTGCTGACAGCTCTCTTCCTGCCCACAGCCAGTGGTACCCCTGAACAAGAAGCGATAGCCAGCGCTTCTGCCCCAGCTTTCTACAGCCAAGTCCCCCGGCCCCCCGCTTCCCCAAGCAGGCCCGAGCAGCACACAGTGATCCACATGGGCAATCCCGAGCCCTTGACTCACGGTGAGCCGGGGAATTGTCCAGGCCAGAGGAGGATAGAAAGGGAGTGGGGTGGTTTGTGTGGAGGGAGCTCAGGGGTCCAGAGACCCACCCGGCGGGACCCTTCCTCACTCCGAGCACAGACCTTACCTCCCCACAATTCCGAGGTGCTCTGTCAGGCTGAGAAGGGCAAGGAGCTGGCCTCCCCTCTCCCCACCCCACTACCGGCCAGTTTCTCTGAGCCTATGAATGCTGGTGGCTCTGTCCCTGCAGCCTCAGCCCCTAGGAAGGTGTATGATACGCGGGATGATGACCGGGCACCAGGCCTCCGTGGGGACTGCGATGATGACAAGTACCGTCGCCGGCCTGCCCTGGGCTGGCTGGCCCAGCTGCTCAGGTACACAGGGTCAGGTGGGGCAGGAAGCCAGGAAGGGGCAGGAGAGGAAGTGAGAGCCAGAGGCCCCAGGCAGGACGATTTCATGACAAAAGGGGCTTGTTGTGGGTAGTGAGGGTAGCTGGTACTGGAGCTGTGCAGAGAGGCCTCGGCCTGGCAGTAGAAGTCTTGGGTCTACCCCTCTCCGGGGCTGTTTCCTCAACTGCTACATAGGAGGTTTGGACACGGACTCTTTGAGGCCACTTCCTGCTCTGACACTACCTGACCTTTGTGACTCTCCCTGTGCCTGACACATTCCAGTTTCCAGAACAGTTGTTGCTTCAGCTGGTTTGAGCGGCGCAGTCACCCTTGTAGTGGGCAGGTGCAGGGGTGATCCCTCCCACGGCACACTCGCGGAGACGAGGCTCAGGGATGGTGGTGCTGGGGCCAGAAGACGAGTGTAATGACTAGGGCTCCGCTACGGGCCACAGGGGCCTCCAGGGACTGAGGCCTGATCTGACTTTCCCTTCGTCCCCGCAGGAGCCGGGCTGGGTCTCGTAAGCGGCCACTGACCCTGCTCCAGCGGGCGGGGCTATTGCTGCTGCTGGGGCTACTGGGCTTCCTGGCCCTCCTTGCCCTCATGTCTCGCCTGGGCCGGGCTGCAGCTGACAGCGATCCCAACCTTGACCCGCTCATGAACCCTCACATCCGTGTGGGTCCCTCCTGAGCCCTTGCTTGTGGCTGGGCCAGCCTGGGACCTGGCGGCCTAAGGAGGGGAGCTGGGCAGATCTGGGGGCCCTTCTTCTCTGCTCCTCTCCCTCAAGCCTGAGACACTAAGATCCCAGGCCCAAAGCTGAGTCCACCAGAGTGGCCGCAGGCTGGGCCTGGGGTCCCTGTAGGTCAAGCATTTTCTTGACCTGTTTTTCCTGGGTCTCCAGCCTCCCATCCCCGACTCCACAGAGGAGATGACAGGTGGAAATAAATGACAGACTTTATTAAAATACCCGAAGCAGCCTTTTCCTTCCCCCTTCTCAGCCCAGTCCCCAGTCCTCAGTGGTTCTCCTCCCGGTACTGGAGGGCCATGAACTCGAGGGACAGGCGGTTGAAGAACATGGCTCCGTTGAGCACTGGGCAGAGGAAAGAGTCCCCGTCAGCCTTCCCTGCCCCCTCCTTGCCATGTTTCAGGGTTCCAAAGCTCCCCCTCTCCCTTCATGCACCCCTCTCCCGCTCACTCAGAATGGTCAGGGAAAAGCACCGAAGAAACTTGACATCTGTCATCTCAGCGTAGAGTGACCCCATGGCGGCCCAGCAGATGCTGATCACCTGGGAGAACTGTAGACGGGAGAACCGTCCAGGGGAGAGTGGCCCCCTGACACAGCAGCAGGGTTTCCCTCAGCCCCTGGGCCTCCCTGACCAGCCCTTGAGCCCTGCCCCCGGCCTACCATCAGGACCACTGTGTAGCGGAAGCTCATGCGGTCGTAGTGGTGGGTGACGCAGAAGTGGTGCACATCGCTGGCGAAGATGCACAGGTGTATAAAGAAGAGCATCATTGCAGCCATGGTGAGCATCATGCCTTGTGGGAAAAAGAGCACAGCCACGCGGTCCCGCCACCGCATCCTGGCGGCAGCAGAGACTCAAGTCAGACGGTAGAGCTGAGCAAGCCGACACTGCCCAGCACAAGCAGCTGACCCTCTGGTTCTAGAGTGCACAGTCTGGAATAGCAGTGAGATTCTAGAACCAGGAGAACATTGGAGGGGGCAAGAGTCTAGAACATTGGTTCCAGCCAATACAGGAGTGTTTCATGGGTGGCCAGGGAGCTTGGAATTGTGGAGGAGTAGTGGTCTGATCACTGAGTCCTCTCAGCCTCCTCCCTACCAGAGGAGGTAGTGTGGGCACATTCTACAGATGAAGGACTGGATCTCAGAAAAGTGGAGGGGCATGTCCTAGGTGCACCCCAAATCTTAGGCAGATGAGAGATTAGGACCCAGATGTATAGCTGGAGGGCATTCCCAGGTGAGGGAGGCCTGGGTTTGCTCCAGCCCCTAATGGGGAGGAACTGAGGGAAGGGAAGGGACAACAGATTCCCCATAGCTGGCCTGGGACCTTCCCCATGCCCTCCCCTGTGTGGCCTGGAGAGCAACTGGCTTTTCCATCCTCTCCCCAGATGTTCCTCTAGGACCTGATGCTGCCTGGCTTTCCCTTCTGGCCCTCAGAGCATTTTCACACCCATCACCTCTGTCACTCCAACAGTCCCAGAAGGAAGCTGGGGCCGGTGGCATAAATCCTATTGTACACACGAGTCAAAGGCACAGAGAGGGGTTGTCAGCTCCAGCTTTCACAGCCAATGAGCGAGGGAATTGGTACTGAGACTAGGATCCGATTCTACCTGAGGCTGTGGAATGGGCAGGGACGGTTAGAAGCCCAGAAGAAAACGTTTCCTCTGTACGTGTGAGAGGTGAAACCTCCAGGACTGTCAACAGATAAGCCAGAAAAACAGCCAGAAATGGTGTGGAGGGACACGCAAGCTCCCAGGAACTAAAGCAGAAGAAGAGGGCGGCCTTGATGTTGAGCTCGGCCGCCTCCACTGCCTCCTGCCTGCCTGTCTGCCCCGCAAGTTGGGTCCCTGGTCACGCCAAGACCCGAAGTCTCCTGCCTTGAAGTGGGAGGGTTAGAGCCTGACCCCACCACCCAGGCTTGCTGCCCAGTGTCATTAATCACAACAGCCCCTCACACCCCCATCCTAACATATTAGAGGGGTGATGCCCCAATGCCCAGCCGTGGTCCTGCTGTTAAAACAATTGTTTGCACCTTAGTTCTCATTTGCATACAAATGAACTTTTATACATTAGGGCTCCTAGCTCAATGCCATTTTAAAAATTATCCAAGTAGTGTATGAATATGTTCTTGTAAAAGAGTTGCATAATACATAGCATTCAGAGGGAAAGGTAACCGTCTCCCTCGTCCACCCCCACTCCTCCAGAGGTAACCCCTTCAATAGTATGGTGAGTGGGTGTCTTTTGGGTCACTTCTTGATATAACTTTATACACCTACACGTACATACACATGCATAATTTTAAAAACCTGAAAAAATCACCATATGTGATTGTCAAAGTTTAATTTTCAAAAAGTTAAAAACAAGCTATGTAAGTATGGAAGGAACATGTAACTAAAGTGTATTAACTCACCAGTGAGGGGGTTCCCCCTCAGTAATGTGGTCCTGCATCTTTTTTTTTGTGTGTGTGAGGAAGATCAGTCCTGAGCTAACATCCGATGCCAATCCTCCTCTTTGGAAGGATTGACAAGAGATGTTGCCAAGAGGAAGATTGGCAACAGATGTTAGCTCTAACGGGTTACTCTTTCTCAGCAAAATAATAATAATAATCCTTCGGTGGGCTTGTGAGACAATGCCCCAGTGTGACATTGGAAGGACATGTTACACTCTTGGTCTTATTTCCAAATTTTGGATAATTTTTCTTGACAGTATTCTACAACTTTTTTTTAAGTTTATAGATTTCTTGCAGTAGATCTAAATTTTTCTCCTCTTCATTTTCTTAAGATTATAGCCTCATAGGCTGAAATCTTCATGTGTATTTTTTTTTTCAGCCTCTGAACATCTCATAGACTCAGGGGTCAGCAAACTTTTTCTGTAGAGGACCAGATAGTAAATGTTTTAGGTTTTGCCAGCCATAGAGTCTCTGTTGCAACTACTCTACTCTGTTGTAGTGCAAAAGTATGCATAGATAATATGTAAACAAATGGGCATAGCTGTGTTCTGATGAAAGTTTTTGTTTAGGGACACAAATATGAATTTCATATAATTTTCAGTGTCATTAATCACAACAGCTCCATAAAATGTCGTTCTTATTTTTTTCAACCATTTAAAAATGAAAAAAAATCTTAGTTCACAGGCCATATGAAAACAGGCAGTGGGCTGTGTTTGGCCCACAAGACCCCTGCCAAAGAAGAATTAAACAAAGTCATTTCCATCCCACCCTCGACGCCCCAGCCCGTCATAAGTAATGTTTCAAGGACCACATTGATAAAGTCTTTATCTCATTTTCAGCCATTCAAACTCAGCGTGTCTCAATTTGAACTCCAAGTCATTCCTTGTCTTCAGCTCTTCACCTCGTTTGTTCCAATCACAAATCTGAGAATTATCCCCAACATCTCGGCCCAGCCCTTCACTCAGCACATCCCATCAGTCACTTAAGATCTGCTGAGTCTGTCTTCTAAGCGCGGTACAATAGGAGTTCTCAAATTTAAATGCATCAGAACTACTTGAGGACTTTTTAAAAAGAAGCTAGGTCTAGGGGAGCCCAGAGTCTCATAAGGCGCCACAGGTAATTCTGAAGGCAATTCTGATGCACCTCAGAGGATCAGGCCGTGAGAACACTACGCTAGAGGCACCATCCGGCGAACTGTACGTACATTTAATCCTCGCAGCGCCCCTGTGAAGTATGTACCCCAATTTTAGGAAAAGGGGAAACTGGGCCGCTGTCCAGGTAACGAGGCAATGGCAGGATGCCAGGCACACGCTCTCGGGCTCCGCGGCCCGCGCTCCGTCCTCTGCATCTAGGGGCATGATCCGCGGACCCTTGCCTGCAGTGGTGCAGGGCTGGGAGCCACGACCCGCCCTCCTTCTGGGAGGGCAGCAACTCGACCGGTCCCACAACATCCTTCCACTTGAGTAGCTGTGGGAACCCAGGCTTTTCCGGAACCTCTTCGCTCGGGGAGGAAAGGTGCAGGGGAACTCTAGCCTCGAAGGACCCAGGCTGCAGGGGGACGTTTCACATGAAGGACTGCCTCGTTTCAACAACAACTTTATGGCTCCCGGAAGTGCCACCTCCCCGTCCCCTTCCCAGCCTCACGCCCGTGGGCTGCGGTTGGAGCGATGGCGGCGGCAGCCGCTGGGCCCGGCCCGGGGTCTGCACCTGGGGACTCCCCGGAGGGGCCCGAGGCGGAGGCTCCGGAGCGTCGGCGGAAGGCGCACGGGATGCTGAAGGTTTACTACGGCCTCTCGGAGGGGGAGGCGGCGGGGCGCCCCGCGGGGCCCGACCCTCTGGACCCGACAGATCTCAACGGGGCGCACTTTGACCCGGAAGTGTATTTGGACAAGGTATGTGCATGGGGGGGCCAGGACCCCGATGTATTGCACCCCCAGATCATGCCTCCGACTTTGTTGCAGGGGTGAGGGAAGCAGGAGTTCATAAAGACGACCCTCGGCCAGGACGACCCTCGCTGGACAGCAGGGGCAGAGCTGGATCTAAGGGGGCGTGGGCAGATTTGGAATGGCCTGGGGGGGTGCGGAGTCTGAGGTCTCCAGGGCTGATGTTCTGATAGGCCCGGGAGAGGGGGCGTGGCCCAGGCGCTGACAGGCGCAGGACCCGGCCTTGGCTGAGTCCGAGTATTTCAAATGTTGATAAACCCCAAATAGGGTCGAACCCAGTAACTCCTGAGCTGTGCTACTTATAGGCTCCATGTCTGGGATTCCTGACAAGGATGGGATCAGGGTTTTCTTGCACTGAAAGCCCACCAGTTAGGGGCAAGCGGGGGGACATGAGTGCCCTCTGACGTCAACACTAACCACCCAGTTTCCTCCAGCTGCGTAGAGAGTGCCCCCTGGCCCAGCTGATGGACAGTGAGACGGACATGGTGCGACAGATCCGGGCTCTAGACAGTGACATGCAGACCCTGGTCTATGAGAACTACAACAAGTTCATCTCAGCCACAGGTGAGCCCACTGGGACACACTCCCCACAGTCCCACGTCCCCCAGGTCCTCCTCCTGTGTTGGGGAAACCAGCAGGGGATTTAGAGGGAGAAGACCCAGATTCCTACCCTGCCCTGTTATTAATCCACTCTCACCTCTCCCTCAGAGCTTTTGTGATCAGACGACTACAGAGGTAATAACTGCTCTCAGAGGGTCATTTTGAGGACCAAAGGGGAGAAAGGACAAAGTGAAATTTTAAAATGAAATGAATTTATCTGAAGCACTTAGAATCTCTGACACTAAGGACGCCTCCTCAATAAGTGTTAGTGTCTCTCATTAGTGGTAGCCTTCTTCTCTGGTCCAAGTCTCTCTTGAGGATGGACTTGTCTCTCTCTTTCTCCTTCTTTCGTTCTCTTTTTTTAAATTAAGCAAAGAGACAGAAAATTTATGACATTAAGATCATATAGGGGCCGGCCCGGTGGCGTAGTGGTTAAGTTCATGTGCTCTACTTCGGTGGTCTGGGATTCACAGGTTCGAATCCCGGGTGTGGACAAACACACTGCTCATCAACCCATGCTGTGGTGGTGTCCCACATACAAAATAGAGGAGGACTGGCACAGATGTTAGCTCAGGACCACTCTTCCTCAAGCAAAAAGGGAAGATTGGCTACAGATGTTAGCTCAGGGCCAATCTTCCTCACCAAAAAAGAAAAAAAAGATCATCATGTAAAGGGTTTTTTTTCCTTCTGTCTGCTTTATTCTCAATTCAAGACAGTGCTAGAAGATGTTCAGCTATCATCCACACTAGCTTCTGACTTGTGTTGGTGAAATGCACGACTCAGACTTTTGTAATAGTTTTGGACCCATGTGTACTTAGTCCTAGAGGCAGATCCCAAGGGTCTACCTGCAATCCCTGGGAATGTTCCATGAACCTCTGGCCTCTCTTACTCTGCTGGTGTCACAATGGGGGGAGGAGGGGTAGTAACACATAGTTATTGTTCTTTTATCTGATTTGAAGCAGGTTCAATGAGTAGGTGCCTTTCTATTTGCTAATACCAGCATCAAACAGCAAGAAATAATTT